CCACTCCACAAACCAACTTCCCAGAGGGCTGCCGAGCAGAAGTGACCCTCAAGGCAAACTAGGCTTCTACGAAAATAATACATTTCCGATGGGATACTTGATGTAGTCATCTTTATTTCATAGAACAATTTGTGTCTACTCATATTCGTTGTGTGAATAGTCAATCAGCCTTTAAATCAGTATGCACTATCACAATACTACTTTTCCCATTGCATACACCCAACGAAAGTGTTCTTGAATAATAATCTATTCACCATTTTCGTTTTTGCCTCATCCAGTTCTTATCGGCGCCCTCATCTTATAAGGTGATCCGCAATGTGGCACACTTGTAGTTCTAATAATAATAATAATAATAATATACCGCACTACTCATATTTGTGGTGAGTAGATTTAGGAATTAGCAAACATTATAACATCAATTTATACTATTATGATGTTTCACTTGTTTGACACATCAAATACCGATCTTAACCACGTGAAATTCACTAACGTTTGATAATTATGTCACATTGTATCCACCAGTTCCGCTTTTTTCTTTCCCAAACTTCATCAGCAAACAATATATCGGAAGATTAATCCCGAAAAGCAGGCGTTTATAATATGAGAATAGTAAATATCGGTAATAGGATAGCGTAAATTCATTTAAAGGCTGACTGACTATTCAAGGTAACGTATTTTATCGAAATATTATATTACTATATATTATCGAATATAAGTAGTGTCACTGATTATTTTGGGGAATGCATGTGTGTCATGTGTGTGTCAACGATTACATAATAAAAGGGGCGCTGATGAGACCCGTGAGAGGAGAAACGGAAGTGATTGGTAGGTTCAGAGGCTATAATTAGCTATTTTTTCGAATTAAATATTGTTTTCGTGACTATCAGTAAATCAGTAGTATGAGACGTGTTCACCCAATTTCGTTTAAGCTGATGAAGGACTGGTAGAAGAAGAATTTTCCCACAATGAGGCGAGCCTTGCTTTCCCAAAAGTTGTTCTCATCCCGGCCGGAGTGGACTGCAGTTTCGACCTCGCATCGTGTCCTATCAACACTCTCAGCGGCAGTCGAACCGCGAAAGTGCAGGATGTGAACTTGACATGCTAGCCACTCGGCTACACTGCCACGAGCGCTTTTTTGGTCACAGAGCTTTTTTGCCATATCATATTCTTTGTATTTTTTATTTTTTTTAGAATTAAGTATTATTTTCGTGACTACTTGTTTATCAGTAGTATGAGATGTATTCACCAAATTTCGTTAAAGGTGATGGAAACGTCAGCTCAACTCATATAATTGTGGGAAAATTCTTCTTCTACCAGTCCCTCATCAGCTTTAATGAAATTGCGTGAATACTTCTCATATTAGCCATTTATTGTTCAGCCAGTCGTCACGTCTAATTTAGCGACTTGTGCAATGACTACTCAATGTTTACTCACCCTCCTCGGGGTGGATTTGAAGGGCAAACAATGAGTCAGCAGATAAGTCGCCTAAAAGCAGACTTTGCCAATCATGTGTTGCTAGGAGTCGGTGTGTTCCGGGTGAAATGTAGTGCAGAATTAGTTGACAGGTGACTTTGGCTTCGCTTTCAAAAGGTCGTCTGGACGGTGATTTTCCGCTTTCCAGACTGAAAGAAGCCGAGCCCTGTGCTCTAAATTGCGCTTTCCAGGACCGTTTTGAGGCCTTCCAAAGTGGAGCGCAACTAATTGTCTGCCACTTGCCTTGCAGAGACGAGTCGTTGAACACGTCCAAGTACGGCAGCACAACGGCCACATCGTCGCCGCCCGAGAGCACGGCCGGCATGTCCGACAGCGACCAAGCGCCGCTCTGCCACTCGACCGGCTGGAAGGCGCGTCACATGTTCAGGGGCCTGTTGCCCTCGCCACAGCGTCACCTCGAGACCATCAAACTGACCGAGACGGTGCCTCTTCAGCGCATCTGCAAGAGGCCTTCATCGTCGCCGGAGCACACGCCAGCCAAAGTCCCGACTGCGCGTGAATAACACATTTTATGCATGTCTGTATGTGTGTGTGTGTGTGTGTGTGTGCTTGTGTGTATGTGAGTGCGTCTTTCGTGTGTTCGCATGCATACCTCTGTGTGCCCATGTTTGTGTGTGAATGTGTGTATTCGTGTGACTGTGTGTGAAGATGTGCTGACAGGTTGACGATTAACGTGGGGCTAAAGCAGAAGAGCCGAGCTGTATCAAATTCGCCCACCAGACGAGGTGACAGTAGACCGGGGTGTTGGAGAGACGGTTCATTTTGATCCGTTTCGAGTGGCATGGCAACCTCTTTTGCTCGACCCTTTTGACCCGGCTTTAGCTTTGTGTGCTATCGCTTTTTTTTATCCACCCCTTTGCTTCCTCAATTGCATCGACATTGGCCCGTTAATTTTTGCCTACTTTAATATTTCTGCCTATTTTCATAAAAATAAACTTCAGATACATTTCTTCTTTTGTCATGTTGGCCGACATTTTCGTGGTCAGCGAGCTTGGCCTCCATGAATCTTGCGGAGGAGTCGAGCAATTGTTACATTTATCCATACTTGTATGGGATAACAGCAAGATTATCTCATTCACGGAGTTAGCCAATGCTGAGATTGCGTAAGGGATGAAAGAAAATCGTTGAGCTTACTTCCATTTCGAGTGAAAGTGTTGGCTAGAGTAGAGTGTAGAGTAAATCTACCACTTTTTTGTGATTTGCCGGTGAGAAGTGAGTAGCATCAGTCAACGCAACCTATATTAAATCAAGATCTTGTCGAAGAAGGACTGTCTTAAAGTGAAGATTGTATAAAAAAACGAATACGATCGCAAAATTTCAAGTTAGGCGCCAAAAATCAGATTTAAGAAATGAAATATATTTATAGTAGTATGTAGTAGTAGTATATTCATTTTTGTATATGGTAATTTAACTTATACCATTTTTAACTACTGAGCTTCCCATAAATTTATACTTTTAACGGCCGTCTGTGTTCATCTACAATTGGCAGATGAAGTTGGTCTCAAGAGCAAATAAAAACGAGGATGAGTTGAGTGGACAGTTTGCTTTTGCTCTTAAAGGTCGCCGGTTCGAATGGAAAAAGCTTCACTGGACCAATTATTTTCTTTCATATGCAAGAACAAGTTGGGTTTCGAGGCATCTATTATTTTATAATTGTTGAGCTTACTTCCATTTTGAGTGAAAGTGTCGGTCGGTTCCGTCAGAAGACGACGGCAGATTCCTCTTGACCAGCTGGAACATTCAGGCTGACGCTGTTTTCCGTGAAAATGTACCAAGCTTTCGCCAAGTTTTCTCAACTCGTTAGCTTGAATTGTGTTGTGACCACGCTACCTTGGTCTGATAATGTGCATCATATGACGCACGAAAACTTAGCACCTTTTCACCGAAATCGAAGAAGATTGCCTCGGAAACAGCGTCAGCATGAATGTTCCAGCTGGGCAAGAGGAATCTGCCGTCGTCTTCAGATGAAACCGACCTTCGAATCTCTTCACGCAACACTTTTACTTGAAATGGAAGTAAGCTCAACATATCTCACCAGCTAATCTTGCCTTCGACTCTAACTTCTATACAAATCAAAACTCACTACTCATGAGTAGATCACCAACAACCTATAATCAACAATTAAGAAATTAATTTCTTCGGTATAATACTGGAGGATGGTGAGTAGTTTTTATTGGAAAATGAATTAAATCTTGCTCTTCTAAATCAAGTAAACCATTTTCTGGAAACTCTTCTTGACTGCGAGGTCAAGAATTGTATTGAGCTGGCGATGATTCCTCATTTTCACGCATGATAAGTCTTTTGTTTTGATTAGGGTTTTGGGGTATTTATGCAGCAATGAACTAACTGTTATGAAAGCTGACTAAGATGAAGCAGTGTTGATTAGTGAAATCACTAATTTCGCTTTTAGCGAAAGATTCAACTGTGGCAATTGAGACAAAGCTGAATGATGTACTCAAGGTATGCGTTGGTAATGGGGAAATGGGGAAGTGAGATGGAAAGGAATTGGCCACTCCAGAGAGACTGCTTGAGGCAGGAGGAGATTCCTCAATTATTAATTTTTTAGCATAGACCAATGCGATGCATGCTTTCTTATGTTTGCTGTGCGTAGAATGAAGAAAAGCTGCTGATTTTTTGTTATATTTAGTTAAAATTATGTATCATTTTGTAAAATTGGTTGCTAAGCAGATGATCTTAGATGATCTCAAGTTTCAACCCTTCGTGTATGTACCCAAATATCCCTTTTCGGGGAGCCATTCAGGCCTCAATGCTCACTCTCCAGAGCGAATCTTCAGAGATTGTGGAGGGTATTCAGTTAAGTATAACCATTATTCTGGCCAATTTTAAGAGATGTTTTATGCAAGAGGTTATTTTTACCCCCAAAGCATTTGACATGCAGTCACTCACGCATAAAGCCGAGCTACATGGACGACTGTTTTCATTCAACCGGCGAGAAAAAAGTATACATTTCGCAATGGAATCAGCTGAGAATAAAAATCTGCGTATGGCAGAAGTGTGTTTAGACAGCCAGCATAATCCGTATTTGTTGCGATTCTCTATCTTACCATAGCTACAACATTAGGGTTGGAACTTTATAAACTGAAATCATTTGGAAAATGAGGCCTGTGGACGGAAATCGTCCGGTTGAAGAGTTAAAAAAACGAAAAAATTCATTCCTGGAAAACAATTATCCTTTCGACCTAATCGTTAATAATAGCTCATTATTGAGGAATACATTTTCGGACGGAGACTATTTAGTTGAAGATGGATAAACTGATACCTTTTCTCCACTCATCAGTTTGTTGTCATGCGGTGTTTAAAGAAACCCTGACACTCTCTTCGGTTATGCTACAAGATTGTTGCTCCCGTAA